TCCCTTTTCATTTTCTTCATTCCTTTCTTTCCTTTTTCTTTCTTTTTTTATTTCTTACCCTTATCCCTTTTATTTTCTTTCTTTCTTTCTTTCTTTCTTTCTTTCTTTCTTCGCTCTTTTCAGTCCAATTTATTTTCATTTTTCCTTACTTTTCCCATTCTTTCCTTCATTTTGCTTCCTTTTTTTTCTTGCCTTTTTTCCTTTCTTTTTTTGTCTTTATTTTCTTTTTCTTTTCGTTTTCTTTTCTTTATTTATTTCAGTCCAATTCATCTACATTTTTCTTTCTTCCCCTTTCCCTTCTTTCCAATCTTCTTTCCTTCATTTCTTTTTTTTCCTTCTTTTTCTTTTTCTTACTTTCTTTTCTTTCTTTTTCCTTACTTTTCTTTCTTTCTTCATTTCTTTCTTTTTTCTGTTTTCTTTTTTTTCAGTCCAATCTATCAACTTTTTCCTTCCTTTTTCATTTCCTTCTTTCCTTCCTTCCTTCCTTCATTTCTTTCTTTTTTATTTCCTTTTTTGTTTTCTTATTTTCTTCATTCTCTCCGTCCTTCCTTCAGTCCAGTTTAATGTAACTACTTATATATCACATGCTTCAAGTTTGTACAACTGCAAATGGAGCTCTATAAAGAACTGCTGTCTTGTTTTCTCTCTCTCTCTCTCTCTCTCTCTCTCTCTCTCTCTCTCTCTCTCTCTCTCTCTCTCTCTCTCCTTAATGTGTATTTGTGTGACATTTAGCCCATGGAGGGCTGTCTAGTGAGCTCAAGACTTGCTGTTCTTCCACTTTGCACTCCACCAACTGAAACACATCAGTCATCCAATCCCTCCAGTCCAAAACTGAGGTCATCCCATGCATCGGAATTCAATAATTAGAGCTGAAATACACTTCTGTAATCAGTAATTCTTTTGGTTCAAAGATTGGCTGTCATAAGACGTGTGTGTGAAAAGAACAGTGTGACCCGACGCTCCACTTCCATCAATTCCCCTCTGGACTGTTTTGATCACTGCCCACACCAGATAGGCTTCGATCCGCTGCGGGTCACGCTCCAGCCCAAGCCCACAAACTCCGGCATCCCCGCAGACTGTGTTCAAGAGCACAGCAACACCAGCAGATTCATGTAATTCATCTATTGATCGGATGCTCATCTCTATAGGTTTGCTGTGAGAGATACTGTATGTGACGCTCTGAAAGCTGAGTTTACTTCAGCATGGAGCTTTCACAACTCAGAAGCACACGAGCACTCAAAGCACTCGTTTAATGGGTTGCTAGTTTCTTTGCTTCTCTGTTTGCATACGATTTTCACACAAAGGTTGTTGCATTTAAATGTATGAATTTAACATAATTAATACATTTAAAATATGTACAAAACAAAAGTGTATTTAATAATCATTTATTTTATTCAATTTGTGTATATTAAGCAGTTTTAAAACATATTTATTTAAATGTACATGACATGGGGCATCACGGTGGCGCAGTGGGTAGCACGATCGCCTCACAGCAAGAAGGTCGCTAGTTTGAGTCCTGGCTAGGTCAGTTGGCATTTCTGTGTGGAGTTTGCATGTTCTCCCCGTGTTGGTGTGGGATTCCTCCAGGTGCTCCGGTTTCAGTTCAAAGACATGCGCTATAGGGGAATTGAATTAGCTAAATTTGTCGTAGTATATGTGTGAATGAGAGTGTATGGGTGTTTCCCAGTGTCGGGTTACGGCTGGAAAACATGTTTGCGGCTAGAAGGGCATCCGCTGCGTAAAAAACTTGCTGGAAAAGTTGGTGGTTCATTCCACTGTGGCGACCCCTGATAAATAAACGGACTAAGCCGAAAAGAAAATGAATGAATGAATGTACACGGCATGATAAAATAGTTGACATGTTACATTAAAATATAATAAATGTGTAGAGCAATGAAAATGTTTAGGAACATGCTGAACTCTAGAGTTTATTTTTTGTAGTTATCTTTGATTTAAAGATTTAGTACATTGTAAAAAAAATAAAATAAATATATAAATATATATATATATATATATATATATAATCTAAATAATTAAAACTAAATTAAACTAATTAAAACTAAGCAGATGTATTGATGTTTCTGCATTTGAACTTGCCTTCAAATGTTCATTCATATTTAAAATATGACCCAAAACTGAAGACAAAATTTCAATGCATTCCTAATATATATATACTTATTCATTTTCTTGTCGGCTTAGTCCCTTTTTTAATCCGGGGTCGCCACAGTGGAATGAACCGCCAACTTTTCCAGCAAGTTTTTTACGCAGCGGATGCCCTTCTAGCCGCAACCCATCTCTGGGAAACATCCACACACACATTCACACACACACTCATACACTAAGAACAATTTAGCCTACCCAATTCACCTGTACCGCATGTCTTTGTACTGTGGGGGAAACCGGAGCACCTGGAGGAAACCCACACGAATGCTGGGAGAACATGCAAACTCCACACAGAAATGCCAACTGAGCCGAGGCTCGAAGCAGCGACTTTCTACCTACTACCTACTGTGCCACTGCTTCGCCCATATATATATATATATATATATATATATATATATATATATATATATATATATATATATATATATATATATATATAAATATATATTACTTTATTTACAAAACTGAAAACCATAAGGTTAAGTGAATCATCCAATGTATTTCTCTCTTTGTTCTGTAAAAACACCAAAAAAAACAGGATTTTAATAGAAAGTATCTCAGCATTTTTACAAATAATGAGTGATTTTTCAATTGGAGTGCTTTAGGTTCACAGCACAGTAGTGGACGGCTCCCACAGGCCACATTACACTCTGTGTTACTGTCACACAAACACACACTTAATGCTTCACACTGCACCAGTCACATCTGATCAATCTGTGTGAGCAAACCACACTCAAATCAGCATTTTACACACACTTTATCAGACCTGGCAGCTGTACGCCACATTCTGTCCAACATTTCTACATTTGCAGAGGTCAAAACCTTATTTATTCAGTGCCACTTTACAGCTGCAAACATAAAACTATATAAATATTTAGCATAACAGATATTGTATTTGATTTTGCTGAGTAAATGAGGGTGAGGACTCTCTCTCGTGTGCTTGACTTTCTGTGCTTTATTAAAATCCGCGTGTCGCAAAATGCCGACACACCAAACCTGGGATTTACAGTGGCTACATTAATTAAAAGTCCACAAACGAGCACGTTTAGGTGTTCGCTGGGGTAATTAACAATGGCTGGCGTGAGCAGCAAAGGTCAAGGCGGAAAGTGTGTTAAAGGCGCAGAGGAGAAAGTGCTGAACGCGGCGTTTCATTGTTAACAGGGTCAGCTGCAGCAGACGGGAGCGAGCGAGATGTCTTTTAGATATTAGAGTCCGTGTGAAAATTGGAAACAGGCTGGTCATTGAGTTTGCCCCAGGGCAGATGGAGGCCTGTAGTTCTACACACTTCCAGATGGAGTTACTAATGGACTTTAGCGCTGCTTTCACCCATTATAAAAACACAGCGCTCTCTGGATGCTGAAGATCTGTTCTGTACATACTGGACCGTCTGTGGATGTCAGAATCAAACATTATTTCAAAACACAAGAAGATTTAATGTTCTTGCAGCAAGGGAACAATAGAGAAGAAACACAAGAGCTTTCATTCTGCTCAAAGTTTTTATACAAAAAGATGATGAAAACTTGGCCTAAACCAGGGATGGGCAAACTTGATCCTCGAGGGTCGGTGTCCCTGCAGAGTTTTGTTCCAACACTAGTCAAACACACCTGAACGAACTAATCAGTGTCTTCAAGATCACTAGAAATCTATATGCGGTGTGTTTGATTAGAGTTGGAGCTTAGTTACTAAACAGTTTGTTTAGTAGAATCCTGTAGACTACTTACCAACCTACGTCACACGGGTCTCCGGTTGCTAAAAAAAAAAGACCGGCTGCAATAGTAAACATGTCGTGTTGTGCAGTAGGATGCCAAATTTGAAAGTCCAAAAATAAAAAACTTAACTTTTAGCGTACACCACACTGCTTTAATGCCAACTGCAGACGTCTTCGGCTAAAAGGGAGCTGAATGAAGTGACGACCTAATTAGAAATGCTGGACTCGTTATATCAGGGAAGTTCCACTATGCTGAATCGTACTCATTGCTTGATTTTGATTGCAGCAATGATTTCAGCAAAAAACGTTACATGTGGTGAATTAAACTGCCGACACTGAATGCTCAGAATGACACGTGAAAGTGTAAGTTATTCAGGTAAAGTTGGTTTTATATTCACACATTCATTCACTGACAACTTGTGACACACTCCCTATATTGTTTACCACGGCACTTTGAATATTCAGTCTGTAATAACCTGCAAGTATGACTTGAAAACTACATTAACACTGTTTATTTGACTGTGGATAATGTTGTACTTTGATAGTCATTGGCTGCTAATATGATTTCGCTATTTAGAGTTTGCAAATAATACTTTTATGAAATTATAATATTAAGGAGAAAGTCTGCATCTGTGAATATAAAACCAACTTTACCTCTATGTGTAGGTTCACATATCCTGCCGTACAGGTGCACTACAGTCAGAATGCAGTCGCTTTGCGTGTTGGTGATTAATTACCCAGGCCTTGTACAGCTCCATCAACTTTTTTTTTTCTTTGGCTAGGCAGAACCTTGGTTTTTAGTTTTTGAATCTGATACTCATGGGACATTATTTCTTGCATGTGACCACACAGAACAACATTGTTGGCATCCAAAAACTTGTAGATCTTTAACTTCTCTCTTGTAAAAACACTTGAAGCTTCAATGAGATTGTATATTTGGATGGATGCTTGGTCATTTCGTCTTATCCTATATTCATTGGGAGGGTGCTATCGCTAATGGACCTGTCAGATGAACGCCGCTCACTTTAATGTTAATTTTGCTGAATCACTGTGCTTATTACTGGGTGACAAGCTGTTATAATATGCTGAAAGCATTATGTAAATAATATATATGATATGTAATCAACCGGCCCGTCTAGCTCAGTCGGTAAAGCATGAGCCTCTGAATCTCAGGGTTGTCGGTTCGAGCCCCATGTTGGGCGTTTCTGTTGAGGCAGTGGCGCAGTGGGTAGCACGTTCGCCTCACAGCAAGAAGGTCGCTGGTTCGAACCTCGGCTCGGTTGGCGTTTCTGTGTGGAGTTTGCTTGTTCTCCCTGCCTTCGGGTGCTCCGGTTTCCCCCACAGTCCAAAGACATGTGGTACAGGTGAATTGGGTTGGCTAAATTGTCCGTAGTGTAAGAGTGTGTGTGTGGATGTTTCTCAGAGATGGGTTGCAGCTGGAAGGGCATCTGCTGCGTAAAAAACTTGCTGGATAAGTTGGCGGTTCATTCCGCTGTGGCGACCCCGGATTAATAAAGGGACTAAGCCGACAAGAAAATTTAATAAATATGTAATCGATATAACTTATTTGTAAGATAACAATGAACTCTACCACATCGGATGTCATTCCCTCGCTGTAAATGCTGAATGTTTACAAACATGGTAATTGATCTATTGATCAAATTTTTTAAATATTTCCCAAATAACGTTTAACAGAGCAAGGAAATTTCCACAGTATGTCTGATAATGTTTTTTCTTCTGCTGAAAGTCTTTTTGTGAATTTATTTTGGCTAGAATAAAAGCAGATTTAAAAGCCATTTTAAGGTCAAAATTATTAGCCCCTTTAGGCTATATATTTTTCCTGACAGTCTACAGAACAAACCATCGTTATACAAAAACTTGCCTAATTCCCCTAACCTGCCTAGTTAACCTAATTAACCTAGTTAAGCCTTTAAATGTCACTTTAAGCTGTGTAGAAGTTTCTTGAAAAATATCTAGTCAAATATTATTTACTGTCATTTTAGCAAAGATAAAATAAATCAGTTATTAGAGATAAAACTAAAATTATGATTAGAAATGTGTTAAATAATATTCTCTCCGTTAAACAGAAATTGGGGAAAAATATAAACAGTGGGGCTTACAAATCAGGGGGGCTAATAATTCTGACTTCAACTGTATGTGGTATTTTACTGGCTGTTTTTACAGTAAATAACTGTAAATATGCAGCTTTACAGTGTAGTCACGTTTTAGTCCTTTTAAACGCTTGAAACTTTAGTTTGATCTCATGTTTCTTTGTACAGTTTAATAAGCAGATTGGGTTTGTTTAGTTATTTCATCTGTTTGAGCAGTTTGTCTGGCATTGCACTTGTAACGTTCGGTATTCTTGGTGGCTTTATATATAAAAATAAAGCTTCTCTCCAAGTGTTTCCAGTTCAGATTGTGTTCCAGGAACTTTTTCGGGCATATGACTGATTGCATTTTACTTTACAGTAAAGGCATGATGGTTGAAAGGAAGGGAACAAATTATACCGTTCATGTCTCCATGTGTCTGTTTGAATGTGGAGGCCCAGAATTGTGTCCTAAAATAGCCTGTCCTCCTCCTCCTCCTCCTCCTCCTCCTCCTCCTCCTCCTCCTCCAGTGCTGGGCTGTTTGGCGGCCGCTGGTCTGTGTGACCTGCCTGCTCTGATTAGCTCAGTGTTGGGGAATGAGCAGAGCCGGGTCAAGGTGAACATGGACAAAAACTACACTTCCTCAACACTCGCTTTTATTATACTGACAAATTATTATGAAGTATTTTAATCGAATGAATCACATCTTTCTGTTTTATATGCATACAGTCAAGCCCGAAATCATTCATAACCCTGGAAGATTCTGACTTAGTTACTTTAGTTTCATTGTCTTGACTGGAAATGACACAGACTTCATCCAAATTTTAAAAAGACAATGTACAAGAGGCATCATTGTGGAAACATATATACTTTTTATTTATATTTTAACAAAAACTTTAAGTCTGAATTTGAGAATTTAAGTCTGGTTATAATAATTTCAGGCTTGACTGTATATGTTAGGATCAGGATTAAATATGCTGTTAATTCCCACATGTACAAGTTGACCAGTCTAACCAGTTGATGATATATATTCTATATACTTTAATAAGCACAGATCAGTAAATGGGTTTAGATTTTATGTAAATATGCATGTTTCATTAAATGACAATGGAATAAATTTCTAATTGAAATTTCTCATTTTGACAATTTATTTCAAAGTAATTTGAAACATTAAATCATTGAATTTACTTGCATTCAATATATTTTGTGTGCATTTTATGTAAATGTATATATCAGCATAATATATTAAAGCTGCAAGCAGTGATGAAAGGGACCTTACACCACTGCCCGATGGCCTTAAGATGACATAAAACAGTGGACAATAATATTACAATATAATATACCATAATACAATAAAATAAAATGTAAAAATAATGAATATAATATAATATAATATATTATAATATAATATAAAATAATAGAATAGAATAGAATAGAATAGAATAGAATAGAATAGAATAGAATAGAAAGTAATATAATATAATATAATATAATATAATATAATATAATATAATATAATATAATATAATATAATATAATATAAATAATAAAATAATATAGATCATTTGAATGTGGTGGTCATTTGGCCTATGAAATTTTCCTTCTTGTCGTCAAACTATTTCATAATTGTTACACAATTATGCATTTCCATCATAACGTAACGTTAAAACTGCCATCATAACATTATTTATCAATATGTGGACTATTTGGCATTTTCGGAAGCTATAGAAATTAAAAACGTTAAACAGGAAATACATTAGGAACATTGTTATCGTTTACATCACTCTAATTGGTTTATAATACAATTGATTATGATATAGCATAATGAAATATAGCCAAATATACTATAATACAATTGAATATAAAATAACATGATGTAATACAACCTAATATACTATAATACAGTTAAATATAATTTAGCTAAATAAAATATAGCCTAATATAATATATTACAATAGAATATAATATAGTGTAATAAAATATAATCTAATATAATCTAATATAATATAATATGATATAATATAATATAATATAGTATAATATAATATAATACAATATAATATAATATAATATAATATAGAACAATTAAATATAACATAATATAACATAATATAATATAATATAATATAATATAATATAATATAATATAATATAATATAATATGATATAATATAATATAGAACAATTAAATATAATATAATATAATATAATATAATATAATATAATATAATATAATATAATATAATATAATATAGAACAATTAAATATAAAATAATATAATATAATATAGTACAATTAAATTTATTATAATATAATATAATATAATATAGAACACTTAAATATAATATAATATAATATAATATAATATAATATAATATAATATAATATAATATAATATAATATAGTACAATTGAATTTATTATACTATAGTACAATTGAATATAATGTAGCATAATATAATTTAACCTCATTTATTATAATCTGTTGAATGTAATATAACCTAATATAATATTATACATTTAAATATAATATAGTACAATGTATTATAATAAAATGCAATATAACCTAATTTAATAATTTTAATATAGCATGATATAATAATGTACAATTATATATAATATATTATAACCTAATTTAATATAATGCAGTTAAATATGATATAAAATAATATAATACATTTAAATAAAATATAGCATAAAACAATATAGCATAATGTAATATAACCTATTATAATACAGTACAGTTAAAAATGATATAACATAATATAATATATTATATAAATTACATGCATTTCATTTTTATGCACTTTTAAAATGTTTGAAATAATTGTTTTGATTAATTTATTTATTTGAATAATGTTTTTTTTTATTCAGGAAGGATGCATTATATTGATCAAAGTGCTACTAAAGACAACATTTACAAAAGGTTTCTACTTCAAATAGATGCTGCTCCTTTGAACCGTCTATTGATCAAAGAATACTAAAAATCATATGAGAATGATCCTGAAAGCTCATGTGACACTAAAGGCTGGAGAGATGATGCTGAGAATGAAGCTTTGGCATCGCAAGGTTAAAAACTACCAACTAAAATGCCAAACAGATACTTTTAATAAGTCAAAATATATCGTATCATCGCTGTTTGATAGTTATGTGTGCATATAATGTAACTGCATGGACTTTAAATTGAATTGACTGCTTGTTTGTTCTTTCATTACATTCAGATCCAGCATTTGTTGTTTTTTCTCATTGCAGAATGATCAGATTCTAACGTTGTAACGTTTTCTACACTGCAATAATTGTGGTGGGCCGCTTCGGTCTCCTCCTGTTTCTCTGTGCAATCACACTTCCAGGAACTTCCCTCTCAATCAGAGCTTTATTACGGCTTGATTGGGTTCATGAGCTTTTACAGTGGAGTCTCAGTTTTTGCCTGCAGACTGATGGAGGTGTTGGCCTCCATCCCTTGATACGTCTTTTCCATATTCCAGCCATTTAGCCCCGGATTCAATACAACAAAGTGCCATTCATTACCGCAGTGGCTGAAAACTCCCGCAATTATCCAAATTTAGCACAATGAAATTTACTCAACTAGCTCGAAAATCTCCCACTCTTTAGCAGCTAATTTGGAGAGCTCACTTGTCCAGGGTTGCTAGGCAATTACAGCCCAGGAAACGGCTCGGGCGCTCGGCTTTTCTGAACATTTCGCAGTCATGTTGCTTTATCAAAGCTGCACAAAAACGGCCTGCTATTCTGTGTAGTCGCTGGACGTTGGTCATTATTATTGAATTACAGTGGACTGTAATATCTGAAATGTTCCTCACGCTGGTTCTGCTTTGTCTTCTTGTAGAATTTAAAGGCATAGTTCACTCAAAATAGCCTCCTCCATGATTTTTCAGACCACAGATGGAAACGTTCGACGCTTGCTTGTTTAATAAGAGTGAATGCTGACCTTTTTAAATAATTTTGTGATGTATTTTAAGTTATATACGCCTAGATTTAACTAAAATGTAATGTATTATTTATTGGGGACCTATTAGCCCTTGTTGCAAGATGTAAAAAAAAAAAGCAATTGACGTTCCTGAAGTGTGTGTGTGTGTGTGTGTGTGGTAGGGCTGCTC